TACATATATGTTTATATGAAAAATATATCAAAAATGAATGTGGATACTCAAATGAAAGCTCTTGATGACTGTAACGTCGGGATGAGCTTATATCTTTAAAAATGTCAAAAATGCACGAGATACAAGGTAATTTCTTAATTATTGACATTTTTAAAGATATAAGCTCATCCTAATGTTACACTCATTAAGAGTTTTCATTTGAGTACCCACTTGCATTTTTAATATACATTTGATATATACATATATATAATATATATAAATATATGAAAAATTGATGTGAGTACTCAAATGAAATGTCTCGATGAGTATAACATCGGGATGAGCTTATATCTTTAAAAATGTCAATATTTCACAAAATACAAAGTAATTTCTTAATTATTGACATTTTTAAAGATATAAGCTCATCCTAATGTTACACTCATTAAGAGCTTTCATTTGAGTACCCACATGCATTTTCATATATTTTTCATATATAAATATATATATTATATATAAATATATGAAAAAATTGATATGGGTACTCAAATGAAAGGTCTCGATGAGTGTAACATCAAAATGAGCTTATATCTTTAAAAATGTCAATACTTTTCTTTTTAACGATTAAAATAAGATCCAAATCTTAACACATCTAATTTTTCCCAAATAGCAAAACAAACTTAATTAATTCTCATTGAAATACTCCGACAAATAAGACTTAATTTTCTCTCTCTCTCTCTCTCTCTCTCTCGCTATATATTAATAGCAAAGTTAATCCAAACTTTCTAACAAAATTAAAACAAAAACTTCCTCTATATTTAAATAACTAATGAAAGATCTCACCTAATTACTTATTTAACGATTACAAAAAATTCTTAGCTTCAAGCTTACTATCAGCGATGGATCGCACAGCATCTCCCTGCGTTGATTTTTTTCAATACGCGTGCGGAACCTGGAACCGGTTGCACATAATTCCAGAGGACAGAAGTTCCATCAATACTTTTGAAGTGCTTTCAGATCAATTGAAAGTAATATTAAAGCGAGTTCTGGAGGAGCCTCCAAATAAACAAGACAACAGCGCGACTTTGAAAGCGAAAACATTCTACAAGTCCTGCATGGACATCCGTGGGTACAATCAGCGTCATTGTTACCGACCTCTCTTTGGTTTGTGCTAAAAGGAGCCATTTTGTTTAACATTGCAGCTCAGATACGACATATTGGCGATGCACCGCTAAAAGAAACTCTGAGGAACCTCGGCGGGTGGCCAGTCGTCGAAGGAACCAATTGGGAGCCTCCGAAAAATTTGCCGATTGAAATTTTACTTGGACGCATACGCGGTGAATTTAATGAAGGCGTTTTAGTTGAACATTGGGTGGGACCTGATGATAAAAATTCTTCGGCCAACATCCTCCAGGTGCGACGGCAAAGTAAGACCGTAGTGGGTGACTTAAGGTTTTCCTCACAACGAGCTTTTTAATAATATATTTACGTTTTGTTTTTTTAGAAATTTGATTTTTATTGCACACCTTTACTCAGTTTTTTTTTGTAGATTAAGGAAATCCTTAAATACTCAGATTTTAAAATTCTAACTATGAGAGCCGTAGCCACCTAGTGGAATTTTTTTAAACTAACTTTTTGATCCAATTTATTTTTAATTATTAAAGAGATCCAAGTACCCTCCTAGTGTAAGGAATGTTTAAAAAAAATAATTCGTAGACAAAAATTTGAGCGGACAAACTTTTAGTTCACTGACGCTCTCGCTTGGTGGCGCTAGTGACCTTTTCTTTGATAGAACCGCGCTTAAATTTTTTCTTTATTAATTTTGAACAATGTAGCCTTAAAAATAACTGCAAAAAATAAATAAAAATTGTGAGTACATTATTAGAGATATACGAGAAAATTAATGATCTTTTTTTATAAAAAATTAAATTTTTTATAAAAAAGGTTTCTTGAAAATTTTTTGAATTTTGTTATATTTTGGACAGAATTTAAATTTCAAATTTTTCTAGTTGTTTTATTTTTCTCAAAAATTTTTTTTTTTTTATTTTTATAGATATTTTTTAGTGTTCTAATTTGAAGATTTATTTATTAAAGGTAGAGGTGTGCATTTTTAGATTTTGAATTTTATTATTTAAAATAGTTGGTAGTATTTTTAATAAAATATTATAAATAAATTAAATTAATAATTAAAATAAAAATTGTAAAATAATTTACAGTTGGATCAAATGCAATTGGCCTTGCCAAGCCGAGATTACTACTTGAAATCAAATAGTAAATCAGAATTACGAGCGTATCATCGTTATATGACAAATGTGTCAGTTTTACTGGGCGCGGATCCAGAAAAAGCGGCTGAAGAGTTTGAAAGAGTTATTCTTTTTGAAAAACAGCTTGCAAATGTATGCATTTAATACTATTTAATATTTAATTATTATTATTTGTATTAATCAATATTAGTCGGCGCGCTACTGTAAATTGAATAGCAAATACAGAGTTAAATTCAAGCGATATGCGAGTGATTTAATGGATATCAACGATATTTAATACTTGAGTAAACCGAATGAAACTAATTGAATTTTAATTAAATTTCAGGCGTCACTGCCAGAAGCAGATAGACATGACACATCCGCAATTTATCGGAAATTAACGTTGCGTGAGTTACAACATGAGGTCCCTCAGTTAAACTGGAGAGATTATCTTCAGACATTTTTGAGCACCTCAATTACTGAAGATGAACCGGTTGTTGTTTATGCATTGCCATATTTCATTAAAATGGGTCGAATTATTGAACAAACTGATAAAAGGTTTTTTGATTTTTTTGTATAACTATCATTTTTAAACTGGGTCGAAAATAAATCTTACTATTGACTTAAAATGAGAGTAATGTCAAAATAAGCTTATATTTTTCAAAATATCAGCTTCATTCCTTAATTATTGACATTTATAAAGATATAAGCTCATTCTGATGTTACACTCATGGATACCTTTCATTTAAGTACCCACATCAATTTTTCATATATTTTATATATTTGATATATATATATATATATAATATTTATGATATATATAGAATATATGAAAAATTCATGTGGGTACTCAAATGAAATGTCTCAATGAAAGTAACATCAACATGAGCTTATATCTTAAAAAATAACATTAGTTTACAAAATACAATGAAACTTCTTAATTCTTAACATTTTTCAAGATATAAGCTCATTTTGATGTTACTCTCATCAAGACCTATCATTTAAATACCCACATCAATTTTTTATATATTTTATATATATGATATATGTAAAATATATAAAATATATGAAAAATTCATGTGGGTACTCAAATGAAAGGTCTCGATGAGTGTAGTAGTTAGATGAGCTTATATCTTTAAAAATATCATCGGTTGACAAAATACACTGTAATTTCTCAATTATTGACATTCTTAAAGATATAAGCTCATTCCGATGTTACTTTCTTCGAGACCTTTCATTTGAGTACCCACATGCATTCTTTGTATATTTTATATATTTTTTATATATACATATATATAATATATATAAAATATGTAAAAAATTGATGTGGGTACTCAAATGAAAGGTCCTGATGAGTGTAATTCTGAGATGAGCTTATATCTTTGATAATATCATCAGTTGACAAGATACATTGTAATTTCTTAATTCTTTACATTTTAAAGATATTAGCTCATTTTGATCTGTGAAATATATAAAATATATAAAAATTCATGGGAGAACGCTTATACGAAAAATAGACTAGTGCGTTACGATACGATTCGATAAACCAGATGATTGTTTAAAACAAATTCAAGGCATCAGTTGAGTTATAAAAGTTAAAAAATAAAAGCAATTTAAGTTAGAAAAAGTCGAGATCTAAAGCAAAATCATCGATATAACTTCAAAGGAAAGTTAGACAGAAATTTTCAATGCCTTTGCAAACTTCTCAATAGATCTTATCAAGTTGATAGTTTCTACATGCAAAATAGTTTCAGAATACGCGATAAATTTAGTAATTTGAAATGCTTCCTTGATGTACAAGTTCACCAAGCAGAGAAATACAGTGAACTTTGACGGTTCGCTCAATTGAATCTTCAACAAGGGACACTATCGGAGCAATCAATAATTTTCTAAACTTTTTAATCGATTTGATTTAAAGGAAAGTTAGACAAATCAACTATTATAAAATTTAGTTTTCTAATTTTTTATGATGATTATTATTATTATTGTTCATTTATCAAAATTAATTTAGTAATTATTATGATTGTTATTGTTTTTTTTAGAATTATTCATAATTATATTATATGGCGATTTGTAATGTCAATAATGCCACATATGATTGATGAATATCAACAAAAGCGAGTTGAATTTCGGAAAATACTTTTGGGAATATTAAGCGAAAGGAATCGTTGGTCACAATGCGTAGAATGGACAAATAAAAAACTTGGAATGGCAGTAGGCGCACTGTTTATTCGTGATAATTTTAATCACGAAAGTAAGGTGACTATTAAACAAAAAAAAATTTTTGTTTTAATTAATCCAGGAACGTTACTTATATTATGTGTTTTTCTGATGAAAATGAAGTTAGCCGACATTTCGAAATTTTTAGAAATTTTTTATTGAAAAAATTTCAATTAAAAAATTAAAAAAAAAATTGTCACATGTAAAAAACTTGAAAAGCTATAAAGTGCAATTTTTTAAAAATATATTTTTAGTTGTAATTTAATTAATAAAAATAATCAAAAAATTTTTTTTGAGTAATTTCTAAATTTGCATTCTTTCTGAGTTGATTAAAGCAAAAATAAAAATTTTACCTACTGTTCCTTTCTTCTTTTGGAAAATATTAAATTTGTTAAATTAAATTGTATGATAAGAGTAAAAAGAAACAAAATTGAGGAGTACTTTGATTTAGGAGACTGCATTGGAGATGATACGGACTATTAGAGAAGCATTCAACGAACTTCTCAATGAAAATCACTGGATGAATGAAGAAACAAGGGCTGTTGCTAAAAGCAAAGCTGATTCGATGAATGAACGGATTGGATATCCGGAATTTTTGAAAGATCCTGTTGAACTTTCTAAGGAATATATTTCGGTAATTTTACAATAATAATAATTATTATTTTTTATTAGTATTCTAAATTGAAATTAAACTTTAATAATTTGCACTATATGATACTTTTCAAAATTAGAACTTTTAAATTTTTATTTAAAAATTTAAAATTTTTGTAAAAGTAAAAATTCTGAAAATTTTGGTAAAAATTTGAAATTTTTGTAAAAATTCTGAAAATTCAAATTTCAAATTTTGGCTAAAGTAAATAATTTTTTTTTAAACAAAAAATTTTCATGCTAAAAAAAAATTTCCAATAAATTAAATTTTTCAGTTAAACATAACAGAAGATCGTTTTTTGGAAAACGTCTTAGCAGTATTAAAACACGACGCTCGGCACAATTTGGAGCAACTTCGAAAGCCAGTTGACAAAGACAAGTGGTCGACAGAACCCGCTGTTGTTAATGCATTTTACAATCCAAATAAAAATGATATCGGTAATAATTAAACCATTTATATTTTCAAAACATTAGTTTGGTATATTACGTACCTAGACTAGTAAAATAAGAAAAATTTCAAATGACATGTAATTGTCGACCAAAGCTGACAAACATGTGATTTTAGACATTTCTTACTTTACTGCCCTAGGTATGTAATATACTATTTTTATAATAGTAATTATTGAACCAAAAATTGAATTTATTCCAACAAATTGAACCTTTTACAGTTTTTCCGGCGGGTATCCTTCAGCCATTATTCTACTCTCAACACTTTCCAAAATCATTGAATTACGGCGGGATCGGAGTTGTAATTGGTCATGAAATTACGCATGGGTTTGACGATAAAGGCCGCCAATATGACAAAGATGGTAATATGATGCAATGGTGGAATAACGCAACTATAAAAGCTTTTAGGGAAAGAGCGCAATGTATAATTGATCAGTACGACCGCTACAAACTCAAAGACGTTAATCTCTTTGTTAATGGGCGAATGACCCAGGGCGAAAATATTGCTGACAATGGCGGACTCAAGCAGTCATTTCGGGTATTAATTATTTCTTCTTTAAAAAAAAAAAAATATATTTCTTCTTTACAAAAAATTTATATTTCTTCTTTAAAAAAAAAATTATATTTCTTCTTTAAAAAAAAATTACATTAATGAATTTTTTTATTTTTAGGCGTATAAAAAATGGGTTGCTACCCACGGCGAAGAGCCTCTTCTCCCGGGGATAGATTTAACGCATGATCAATTATTTTTTCTGAACTATGCACAAATTTGGTGCGGATCTATGACACCAGAAGACGCTCTCACTAAAATACGCAGCAGTGTGCACTCACCTGGTCCATTTAGAGTCCTGGGTCCGCTTTCTAACAGCCAGGATTTCGCTAAAGCGTATAAATGTCCTCCAGGATCTCCGATGAATCCGACGCATAAGTGCAGCGTATGGTAAATATAAAGGCGTAATGAAAAATTTCAAAAAATTTGTTTATTTTTGTATATTATATATATATAAGATATTTGTAAAATATGAAAAATTGATGTGGGTATTCAAATAAAATGTCTCAATGAGTATATCATCGAGATAAGCTTATATACTCAACAATATGAATAATTAAGAAATAACGTTATATCTCATCCCCTAATGGTGTAATTAAAGATATAAGCTCATCTCGATAATAAGCTCATCGAGACCTTTCATTTGAGTATCCAGATGAATTTTTTATATATTTTATATATTTCAAAAATATGATATATATTAAATATATAAAATATATAAAAAAATTGATGTGGGTACTTAAATGAAAGATCTCGATGAGTGTAACATCGAAATGAGCTTATATACTCAAAAATATGAAGAATGAAGATATTACACTGTGTTTTATCAACGGATGATATTTTTTAAGAAATAAGCTCATCTTAGTCCAACGCTGATCGAGACCTTTCATTTGAGTACCCACATCAATTTTTCATATATTTTATATATTTCATAAATATCTTATATATCACATATATAAAATATATAAAAAAAATTCATGTGGGTACTCAAATGAAAGGTCTCGATAAGAGTAACATTGACATGAGCTTATATCTTTAAAAATGTCAATAATTAAGAAATTACATCGTATTTTGTCAACTAATGATGTTATTAAAGATATAAGCTCATCTCGACATTATACTCAATGAGACCTTTCATTTGAGTACCCACATGAATTTCTCATATATTTTATATATTTCACATTTATCATATATATAAAATATATGAAAATTTGATGTGAGTACTCAAATGAAAGGTCTTAATGAGTGTAATATTAGAATGAGCTTATATACTCAAAAATATCAAGAATTAAGAAATTACATTGTATTTTGTCATTAGATAATATATTTTAAGATATAAGCTCATTTCAATGTTACGCTCATCGAGACAATTTATTTGAGTACCCACATGAATTTTTCATATATTTCATATATTTTACGTATAACATATATATAAAAGATATAAAAAAATAAAGTGGGTACTCAAATAAAAGGTCTGTTTATTTTCCAGGTAATATAATTAAACAATCTATATATATATTATTAAAAAAAAAAAAATATCAACATATCAAGAAGTTAAGGCGGTGACCATCAAGACAAAATAAAGAACCGACCTCTACATAAAATAAACAAACTTATTATGGCTTTGTTTTGTTTGATATATTCAAAATCGTTATGGTTAAATAAATTAATGGCTTTAATCATCGTTACATTAAATAAAATATTAACTTATACGATAAGAAGAAATTAAATTAAAGTATGGTCCAAGATCGCGTGCTTCAACACAATCATGAAAAAATAAAAAAATATAAAAAAAAGAAATAAATAAAAATACTATGTATGTATAAAACTTGAGAGGGCGATTTTTATCGTGTTCATACGACACGAACGTTCTCTATAAAATAAATTCATATCAATATATATAAAAAAAAATCTAGATAATCTAAGAAAATTTATTAATTATTTATATATATACAAAATGTATGAAGAAGTTAGACCGAAAAAAGTGCAAGCAGTAACAAAATAAATTTTTCAATTGTCGCTTAAAAATTTTCCTCAAAAAAAGATATTTTGTCGAGCTTAAGTCTTTAGGTCTGACTTTTTCATATATATCAACAATTTTTGAAAATAACTAATGCAGAGTATATGTATACGTGTTGATGAAAATATAAATAAGATATATATGTATAAATTATATGTTATATGTAATTTAATATATTAAAAACAATTTTGTTTGATTTGAAATTGGTTATTTTTTATTTATAAACTAGCAACCTTTATATAATGGGTGATTCTCTGTAAGGATGTTTTTTGCTGTCCCAGGCATTTTTTTATTATAAAAATTGTTATTTTGTTGCTAAAAAAAATTTATTGCAAAAGTAAAAAAACATTTCTATTTGGAGCATTGAAAACTAAAATGAAATAAATTTTGGTTTTTTTGCTATAAATTGGTAAACCACCGACAATAACAGTCCCCTGGGCTGTCTCATTCCCAAAATTAAAACTTTAAGATTAAATTTTAAGTTATTCGTCCATAATATATAATTTGGTCGATAATGTTTATAAACTTAATTAGTTAACTAACAATCTTCTTCAATAAAAAGTACCGAAAATTAATTTGTTTAATTAAATTCATTAAACCAAAGTTTGTCCCAGGGATTTTAAGAACAGTCCCCTGCCAGAAGTTCAAAGCCAAAAAAAAAAATCCAGCGTGTTATTTTACCTTTCGTAAGGTTTATAAGGACCTAATTAGCCTTGAGTTAATAACCATAGGGCTGTTAGCGCTTTGTCGGGATTTTATTTAGTGCCAAAGCACCGTTTGTGCTGGAAATATGTGTCTGGGCCACTTGAAAACGTCAGTCCCCTGGCAGCTATTTTTATTTATAATTTATTTATAAAAATTCGATCCATAACGAGCCATGTATTCTAATAAATGTAAACATTCATTGAAAACTTGAAAAGTTGAATGCATTGAAATAGTTTGCTTGATTTTTCTCAATTTGATAAAAAAAAAAAAACAGTCCCCTGTCATGATATATAGCAAAAGATACACAAAAATCGAAAAAGCAAAAATTAATTCGGCTGTTTATTTATTACGATTAAGCTGATAGTTTTGTAGTCCTTGTTAATTTTTTTTCTAATAAAATCAAAAATAAATTGGTCGGACAATTTTGTACAGATTTAAGACGTCCTTACAGACAATCACCCTTATGATAATAAAAAAAAATGACCTACCAAGAATAGAATTTGAAGAAAAATTTTTACTTCGGTCTTCCTTCAGTCAAGAAATTTTTTTTTTCTACGTATCTATAAACTAAAGCAACAATGTTATAAGTATAAAATCGGAAGTTGGTGAATCTTATTGCTTTAAAATATTTATTACGATCTGCAAACACTTAATAACTCCTTAATACCGTCCAGTCTGGTAACTTAAATTCGAAACCGAGTTGTTTTTTAAAATTCTTATCTCCACATTTATTTTCACTCGGACTCCAGCTAGAGTTTCTTCTATTCTAGTAAATTTAGAGCCCTTCTATATCTTTGTTTTCGTCCAAACTAGAATTCGAGGACAGAGAAGAGAATCGAGAACTTTTGTTCAAAGTTTTAACTTTGAAATTGTAAAAAATTGGATGACACTTTAAAAATATCTCTATAATTTATTAAAATAATAATAATTATTGGTATTTATATTTTGAATCCTTTAGTGGTAGTCTTTAAATCTTGTATACACAGGTTAGTTGTAAAAGGATCGTGCATTCATCTGTCCGGTGTTATCTGCGTATGTCTTCTCTTACATTATAAAGAAAAGGGTGAGCATGAAGTATGCGTGTATCTTATTTTCTCCGTCGTCTTAAACATTAATCCTAGTTGTAGTTGTAGTTGTTGTTGTTGTTGTTGTTGTTGTAGTTGTTGTTGTTGTTGTTGTTGTTGTTGTTGTTGTTGTTGTTGTTGTTGTTGTTGTTGTTGTTGTTGTTGTTGTTGTTGTTGTTGTTGTTGTTGTTGTTGTTGTTGTTGTTGTTGTTGTTGTTGTTGTTGTTGTTGTTGTTGTTGTTGTTGTTGTTGTTGTTGTTGTTGTTGTTGTTGTTGTTGTTGTTGTTGTTGTTGTTGTTGTTGTTGTTGTTGTTGTTGTTGTTGTTGTTGTTGTTGTTGTTGTTGTTGTTGTTGTTGTTGTTGTTGTTGTTGTTGTTGTTGTTGTTGTTGTTGTTGTTGTTGTTGTTGTTGTTGTTGTTGTTGTTGTTGTTGTTGTTGTTGTTGTTGTTGTTGTTGTTGTTGTTGTTGTTGTTGTTGTTGTTGTTGTTGTTGTTGTTGTTGTTGTTGTTGTTGTTGTTGTTGTTGTTGTTGTTGTTGTTGTTGTTGTTGTTGTTGTTGTTGTTGTTGTTGTTGTTGTTGTTGTTGTTGTTGTTGTTGTTGTTGTTGTTGTTGTTGTTGTTGTTGTTGTTGTTGTTGTTGTTGTTGTTGTTGTTGTTGTTGTTGTTGTTGTTGTTGTTGTTGTTGTTGTTGTTGTTGTTGTTGTTGTTGTTGTTGTTGTTGTTGTTGTTGTTGTTGTTGTTGTTGTTGTTGTTGTTGTTGTTGTTGTTGTTGTTGTTGTTGTTGTTGTTGTTGTTGTTGTTGTTGTTGTTGTTGTTGTTGTTGTTGTTGTTGTTGTTGTTGTTGTTGTTGTTGTTGTTGTTGTTGTTGTTGTTGTTGTTGTTGTTGTTGTTGTTGTTGTTGTTGTTGTTGTTGTTGTTGTTGTTGTTGTTGTTGTTGTTGTTGTTGTTGTTGTTGTTGTTGTTGTTGTTGTTGTTGTTGTTGTTGTTGTTGTTGTTGTTGTTGTTGTTGTTGTTGTTGTTGTTGTTGTTGTTGTTGTTGTTGTTGTTGTTGTTGTTGTTGTTGTTGTTGTTGTTGTTGTTGTTGTTGTTGTTGTTGTTGTTGTTGTTGTTGTTGTTGTTGTTGTTGTTGTTGTTGTTGTTGTTGTTGTTGTTGTTGTTGTTGTTGTTGTTGTTGTTGTTGTTGTTGTTGTTGTTGTTGTTGTTGTTGTTGTTGTTGTTGTTGTTGTTGTTGTTGTTGTTGTTGTTGTTGTTGTTGTTGTTGTTGTTGTTGTTGTTGTTGTTGTTGTTGTTGTTGTTGTTGTTGTTGTTGTTGTTGTTGTTGTTGTTGTTGTTGTTGTTGTTGTTGTTGTTGTTGTTGTTGTTGTTGTTGTTGTTGTTGTTGTTGTTGTTGTTGTTGTTGTTGTTGTTGTTGTTGTTGTTGTTGTTGTTGTTGTTGTTGTTGTTGTTGTTGTTGTTGTTGTTGTTGTTGTTGTTGTTGTTGTTGTTGTTGTTGTTGTTGTTGTTGTTGTTGTTGTTGTTGTTGTTGTTGTTGTTGTTGTTGTTGTTGTTGTTGTTGTTGTTGTTGTTGTTGTTGTTGTTGTTGTTGTTGTTGTTGTTGTTGTTGTTGTTGTTGTTGTTGTTGTTGTTGTTGTTGTTGTTGTTGTTGTTGTTGTTGTTGTTGTTGTTGTTGTTGTTGTTGTTGTTGTTGTTGTTGTTGTTGTTGTTGTTGTTGTTGTTGTTGTTGTTGTTGTTGTTGTTGTTGTTGTTGTTGTTGTTGTTGTTGTTGTTGTTGTTGTTGTTGTTGTTGTTGTTGTTGTTGTTGTTGTTGTTGTTGTTGTTGTTGTTGTTGTTGTTGTTGTTGTTGTTGTTGTTGTTGTTGTTGTTGTTGTTGTTGTTGTTGTTGTTGTTGTTGTTGTTGTTGTTGTTGTTGTTGTTGTTGTTGTTGTTGTTGTTGTTGTTGTTGTTGTTGTTGTTGTTGTTGTTGTTGTTGTTGTTGTTGTTGTTGTTGTTGTTGTTGTTGTTGTTGTTGTTGTTGTTGTTGTTGTTGTTGTTGTTGTTGTTGTTGTTGTTGTTGTTGTTGTTGTTGTTGTTGTTGTTGTTGTTGTTGTTGTTGTTGTTGTTGTTGTTGTTGTTGTTGTTGTTGTTGTTGTTGTTGTTGTTGTTGTTGTTGTTGTTGTTGTTGTTGTTGTTGTTGTTGTTGTTGTTGTTGTTGTTGTTGTTGTTGTTGTTGTTGTTGTTGTTGTTGTTGTTGTTGTTGTTGTTGTTGTTGTTGTTGTTGTTGTTGTTGTTGTTGTTGTTGTTGTTGTTGTTGTTGTTGTTGTTGTTGTTGTTGTTGTTGTTGTTGTTGTTGTTGTTGTTGTTGTTGTTGTTGTTGTTGTTGTTGTTGTTGTTGTTGTTGTTGTTGTTGTTGTTGTTGTTGTTGTTGTTGTTGTTGTTGTTGTTGTTGTTGTTGTTGTTGTTGTTGTTGTTGTTGTTGTTGTTGTTGTTGTTGTTGTTGTTGTTGTTGTTGTTGTTGTTGTTGTTGTTGTTGTTGTTGTTGTTGTTGTTGTTGTTGTTGTTGTTGTTGTTGTTGTTGTTGTTGTTGTTGTTGTTGTTGTTGTTGTTGTTGTTGTTGTTGTTGTTGTTGTTGTTGTTGTTGTTGTTGTTGTTGTTGTTGTTGTTGTTGTTGTTGTTGTTGTTGTTGTTGTTGTTGTTGTTGTTGTTGTTGTTGTTGTTGTTGTTGTTGTTGTTGTTGTTGTTGTTGTTGTTGTTGTTGTTGTTGTTGTTGTTGTTGTTGTTGTTGTTGTTGTTGTTGTTGTTGTTGTTGTTGTTGTTGTTGTTGTTGTTGTTGTTGTTGTTGTTGTTGTTGTTGTTGTTGTTGTTGTTGTTGTTGTTGTTGTTGTTGTTGTTGTTGTTGTTGTTGTTGTTGTTGTTGTTGTTGTTGTTGTTGTTGTTGTTGTTGTTGTTGTTGTTGTTGTTGTTGTTGTTGTTGTTGTTGTTGTTGTTGTTGTTGTTGTTGTTGTTGTTGTTGTTGTTGTTGTTGTTGTTGTTGTTGTTGTTGTTGTTGTTGTTGTTGTTGTTGTTGTTGTTGTTGTTGTTGTTGTTGTTGTTGTTGTTGTTGTTGTTGTTGTTGTTGTTGTTGTTGTTGTTGTTGTTGTTGTTGTTGTTGTTGTTGTTGTTGTTGTTGTTGTTGTTGTTGTTGTTGTTGTTGTTGTTGTTGTTGTTGTTGTTGTTGTTGTTGTTGTTGTTGTTGTTGTTGTTGTTGTTGTTGTTGTTGTTGTTGTTGTTGTTGTTGTTGTTGTTGTTGTTGTTGTTGTTGTTGTTGTTGTTGTTGTTGTTGTTGTTGTTGTTGTTGTTGTTGTTGTTGTTGTTGTTGTTGTTGTTGTTGTTGTTGTTGTTGTTGTTGTTGTTGTTGTTGTTGTTGTTGTTGTTGTTGTTGTTGTTGTTGTTGTTGTTGTTGTTGTTGTTGTTGTTGTTGTTGTTGTTGTTGTTGTTGTTGTTGTTGTTGTTGTTGTTGTTGTTGTTGTTGTTGTTGTTGTTGTTGTTGTTGTTGTTGTTGTTGTTGTTGTTGTTGTTGTTGTTGTTGTTGTTGTTGTTGTTGTTGTTGTTGTTGTTGTTGTTGTTGTTGTTGTTGTTGTTGTTGTTGTTGTTGTTGTTGTTGTTGTTGTTGTTGTTGTTGTTGTTGTTGTTGTTGTTGTTGTTGTTGTTGTTGTTGTTGTTGTTGTTGTTGTTGTTGTTGTTGTTGTTGTTGTTGTTGTTGTTGTTGTTGTTGTTGTTGTTGTTGTTGTTGTTGTTGTTGTTGTTGTTGTTGTTGTTGTTGTTGTTGTTGTTGTTGTTGTTGTTGTTGTTGTTGTTGTTGTTGTTGTTGTTGTTGTTGTTGTTGTTGTTGTTGTTGTTGTTGTTGTTGTTGTTGTTGTTGTTGTTGTTGTTGTTGTTGTTGTTGTTGTTGTTGTTGTTGTTGTTGTTGTTGTTGTTGTTGTTGTTGTTGTTGTTGTTGTTGTTGTTGTTGTTGTTGTTGTTGTTGTTGTTGTTGTTGTTGTTGTTGTTGTTGTTGTTGTTGTTGTTGTTGTTGTTGTTGTTGTTGTTGTTGTTGTTGTTGTTGTTGTTGTTGTTGTTGTTGTTGTTGTTGTTGTTGTTGTTGTTGTTGTTGTTGTTGTTGTTGTTGTTGTTGTTGTTGTTGTTGTTGTTGTTGTTGTTGTTGTTGTTGTTGTTGTTGTTGTTGTTGTTGTTGTTGTTGTTGTTGTTGTTGTTGTTGTTGTTGTTGTTGTTGTTGTTGTTGTTGTTGTTGTTGTTGTTGTTGTTGTTGTTGTTGTTGTTGTTGTTGTTGTTGTTGTTGTTGTTGTTGTTGTTGTTGTTGTTGTTGTTGTTGTTGTTGTTGTTGTTGTTGTTGTTGTTGTTGTTGTTGTTGTTGTTGTTGTTGTTGTTGTTGTTGTTGTTGTTGTTGTTGTTGTTGTTGTTGTTGTTGTTGTTGTTGTTGTTGTTGTTGTTGTTGTTGTTGTTGTTGTTGTTGTTGTTGTTGTTGTTGTTGTTGTTGTTGTTGTTGTTGTTGTTGTTGTTGTTGTTGTTGTTGTTGTTGTTGTTGTTGTTGTTGTTGTTGTTGTTGTTGTTGTTGTTGTTGTTGTTGTTGTTGTTGTTGTTGTTGTTGTTGTTGTTGTTGTTGTTGTTGTTGTTGTTGTTGTTGTTGTTGTTGTTGTTGTTGTTGTTGTTGTTGTTGTTGTTGTTGTTGTTGTTGTTGTTGTTGTTGTTGTTGTTGTTGTTGTTGTTGTTGTTGTTGTTGTTGTTGTTGTTGTTGTTGTTGTTGTTGTTGTTGTTGTTGTTGTTGTTGTTGTTGTTGTTGTTGTTGTTGTTGTTGTTGTTGTTGTTGTTGTTGTTGTTGTTGTTGTTGTTGTTGTTGTTGTTGTTGTTGTTGTTGTTGTTGTTGTTGTTGTTGTTGTTGTTGTTGTTGTTGTTGTTGTTGTTGTTGTTGTTGTTGTTGTTGTTGTTGTTGTTGTTGTGAAAAAAGCGATTTTTTGATAAATATAACATATAATTTATTTATTTATGTTTGCACCGACTTTAATTTATGAAGGTAATTATTAAAATTATTTATTGCGCGAAATTAGTGCCCATTTTTTTTTAAATAATAAAAAAAAAAAATTATTCTTCATTTATTATGAAGAAATTTTAAATGAATCATTATTTGAAACTTAACATTGAAAAATTTTGCGCAAGCACTAAAAATTATTATTTAAAATCAAAGTTGTTTTATTGAATTAAATAAATAATTAGACTTACCGCATAACGCTGGAGACGTTCCAAAGAATCTTCTTGCCGCAAAATAAATTTTTGCCCTATTTTTACTCTCTTATTACTAAATTCCTTTTTTTCCAATAAAATTCTACCCTTCAATGTATCAAAAATTTGCGCTTTGATTAAAATGAACCAATTTCTATTTATAATAATATATTTAAAAATTTTTAATCACAAAAAATTTCAACAATTACATTTTCTTTTATTTAACTCCAAAGTTGCACTTCTAATTTATTACAGAATTATTTGTAGTATATTTAAAAAAAATATACAACATATTTTATTTATTGGTTAAAGTGGAACCATTGTGAAAATACCTCAAAAATCACATTACGCTTTTGGACAATAAAGTAAATTTTTTTTTGTTAATCCCTCTATTTTTATTTTAAACTTTTTAAAAATTATTTTCTGCATGTAAGTTTGATTTTTTATTAAAGTGTGTATTTAATTTTTTAAATTGAAAAACTAACAATACTCCCTAGTTGATCTTAACCTTAGTTATATTCTTGTTTCATGGATTGAGCTATGCATAACTTAGTATACGCCTTAGTACTTGGCACAAGGATAATGGAACAGAGTTTTAATAAAAAAACAAACTTAAAAGTATAAAATTATTTCCAATAAGATTAAAATAAGAATAGAAGGATTAACAAATAAATTTATTTTATTGTAAAAAAGATTCACTGTAAATTTGAAAACACACGAGTCAATAATTAACAACAATCAACATCCAAACGGAGTATAATTAAAAACCTCTTTGCACAAATAACTGTCTAAGACTTCTAAAATATCGAGCGAATATTATTTCAATCATTAAAACGATAACAGCAAAAGCGGTGCAATACCCGACAAAATAATAAATGAAAATCAACTCCTCAAAGTCGAACTCTTCATAATCTTCACTCTCTTCTCTTCTCTTTCTCACGGTCAATCGTTTCTTGAAAAATTTTTCTATAAATCCTTTATTAACGCTCGTGGAATCGAATCCAGATTCCGAAGTTTTAAGTGCTGCTTCATCGAACTTGTCCTCTAAGGGCCAATTCTTCCTCGCCCAATGAACAAATCTCTTCGTAAAGACAGGCTCCTTCGACACATGCAACTTTGGAAAGTTATAAGCCTGGCCGAGAAATGTGTTTGTTTGACGGATACAAGCTTTTTTCGGATTTTTGAGAACTTCTTTCCAGCAGTTCATCATTTCCTGAGCACTTAACGGATAAAGATATTTTTTGTCCTCATCAGAGACCCACAACTGTTCATTTATCATGTCGTTCTTCAATATGTTGAGATAGTAGACATGGAACTTGTTCTCATAGAGATCCTTCAGTGTCTCGACATCGCGCCCCATAGGCTCCGATAAAATGGCAGACAGGTGGCCTTGAAAGTCGGGAACAATCAGAAACGCATACAGGAACCCATAGAAGAGGAAAATCTTCATCACTAGACGGCTAAGTGAAGTTTTAAGTCCCATACCGACGACCAACCTTATCATTTCCAGCGTAGCCAGCTTTAAGTCATCTCTGTTGATCATAAACATCAGTATCGTAAACAAAACGAACAGAACTATTGTTCCCACCACGAACCGAACATCCTGGGTCAGTTCGCTGATCACCGTCAGGAAATTTGTTTTTTTGGTCGCGATTGAAAACTCGTGCTCATGATAGTACGCAATTATGTTGACGTGGCTGTAATCAGTGGCTTCTATTGGCATTTTTGTAGTGTAAATGTCACATGTATTGTTTAATAATTGTTTGATGTAACCTTTCTTCAACAATTCGATAGAATTTTGAGGAGGAATAAACTTCATCGTTGAGGTAGCATTAATTAAAGTTGATACGTGGGCTATATTTATTCCAGAGTTTTTTCTAACTTTCTTCCACGTTACTGGCTGCTTGTTATTTGACTTCAAAGCCACGAACCTTATCTCTGCTTTTTCTAATCGATCTGTCTTGTCAAATGTGATGATTTTACAAATCTCTGGCCCTGAAATTAAACAAGCTGAGTTATTACTACTGATCACGACTGTAATAATTAATAATAAAAGTACCTTTTGTGAATTGGAGCCTAAAGAGGTGAATCTTGTTTTTGTTGTCGCTGAATTTGTCAACAAGTTTCCACGGGGCCGGAGCATAGCTTGCATAAGGATTCAGTGTGATGATGGTCGTCGAATTTTTCTTGTTGCACAAGTAATAAACAGACAACAAATCTCGGTCCCACATGAATTTCAAAATTCTCCCGGCGTTGAGGCAACTCGACTCGGTCCCAACGATCACAAACGGTGATTTGATGTTCCAGAATTTGGATCTTTGGAGATTGTCGATCACCGGTTTAAGATTGTCGATCGACTTGAATGAAATAACGTAACTAGGATAAGCGGGGAGGAAACCTGTGATTTGTTTGTTGGATTTGCGATCGATTATGATCCACGAATTGAAAGCCCCAGCAGAATTATAATCGTTGGGAAGCAGATCATTGGAGATCACCACTGGGTTCGAATTATTCGTTAAACACATTTCAACTAATTCCCTCTGTTCAAAATAAATTCAATGAATTTTCATTCAAAATCAAAATCACTATTTTAAATTAAATGAACAATTAGACTTACCGCGTCGCGTTTGAGACGTTCTGAAGAATCTTTTTGCTTTGAATCATTTATTTTTATTATGTTTCCCCCGACAATTGCAGCTATCAAACCGCACAAAATAATTTTTAGCCTCATTTCTAGTCTCTGATTACTAAATTATTTTTTATCGAGCAAAATTACACCACCAATTTTTCAGAAATTTGTTCTTAAATTGAAATAAATCAACGAATCGCGGAATTTTTGTCAGAAAATTTGAACGTCTGCTCTCTTCGGTTGATAATTTTCTAGTGACCTGCAATCCGGAAAAAATGACAGAAAAATATACGAAGTATCCATGGCAACATTTGTTTTGCAATTCGTGTAAAAATCCATAATAATTAAAATAAAAATCGATTGTTACTTTTGTTTAGCGTTATCTCGGTATCTAAGTGCAAAACCGCGTACTTTTATACATATGCTTGCCACCGCACTGTGTGATTTTGTATAGAATTGAATATTATTGAATTGTGAGCTGACTATATCAAGAAATTTATTGAAATTTCAAAAATAAAAACAATAATATGTATCAAGAAATGAAATAATATCCTTAATCATTAACATTCTTTAACATATTAGCTCTGCACTCTTCTTCCAAAGAACTCCACTGAACTCTTCTTTAAATTTCAATGTTTAAAAACATCAATCACCATATCAAAGAGACAGTAAATATTCTACAGGATATGAAGGTTTGATTAATAAAAAATAATTGAAGAAAACATTAATGTATTTGTTGAAAGATTTACTCTAGTATTGGAACATAGTATCCATACAACAGCACGGTGATGCCGATCTTGGTTTTATGTAAAAAAGGTGGAAATAAAAATAATATACAACAGACAGAGGGCTCGCTCACCTTTGTACGTGAATATTTAATCACGACTATCAATAATAATTTATTTAATATTAATGTATCAACTTTGTTTTCTATGTGGTTTATAATTATAATTAATAATTAATAATTAATAACTTTATTATTTCTATATACTTAATATCAATATAAAAAGGTAATTTTGTTGAAATTTGTTCATATTGCACCCTCCAATAAGGAATTAATTAATTAAAAAAAAAAAAAAAAAAAAAAAAAAAAAAAAAAAAAAAAAAAAAAAAAACAATATTAATAATAATAATAAATATACTCTCAAAAACTCGCTAATTATTAAAGAGCTTAATAATTCAATTTATTTCTTCTTTTTTTTATGTATATAATTCAATGAATATTAATATTAATCAATATTAATCATAATTAATTAATTAATATAATCTCTCAACTATTATGCCACTTAAATACAATTTAAACTTAATATATATATATTTATAATTAATATGTATAATAAAAATTGTTATTTAAAAACAATCTGTATTGTAATTAATCATGCATTAATCATTAATCATATTACAATATTATTAATAATATAATAATAATTATTTTATTTATAATTTATAATAATACAACTAGAGCCACATAATGCTCCTGTACATCGATTCGAACTTTGTTTAGATTTAAAACGGTTTTTTATTTATTTGTCATTATTAATTAATTAATTAATTAATTATCTCACACTACCAACCGACATGATACGCTTCTTTTTCATTATTACTCATAATCATTAATCAATTGCTTCTTAAATACCTCCGGGTATTTTATGTTGAATAAAAATAAAAATAATTATTAAGAGCGCTTAACCTTAAAATTTTAACATTTAAAGTCGCGGTTAATTTTTTTAACCTCAAATTTTTATTAATTATAAATTTTTAGAATTTTTCAACGTGATATAGAATTTATTTTCTCGAAAATATAATGTTTATTTACATTTTTTTTATGTATTACTATTAATAGTATCACAAAAAATTGATGATTTTTATTTTTAACCTCCACATATTCCAGTAAACAATCGAATGCTTAACGCTATTTCTTCTTAAATATTTTTATACGCTGATAGAAAGATTTTTTTGTAATTAATAAGCTTTATTAACTTAATTAATTATTTTTTAATAACTAATAATTTTTTTAATTTATTAATAATTAATAAATCCTTCTATAAGCGTATATTTAAATATTTTTGTTCGGTTCTTCAAATAAAAATTTAAAAAATAAATTGTTTACCTGAAATATTACTTTTTAAATTTCCCGCGACTTTATTACAAAAATAACTGTATAATTTTAAAAGGTTAGCGCGCTTTGTCAGCCATTTTGAATTTCTAGTCGTCCATCTTGTGGTGACACAAGGAAGAAATAATAAATTTTATTAAAAAGTATATCAAAGTATCATTAAATAAAAATAAAAGAAAATAAGTAAAGCCCATTACTAATCATTACGGTTTTTTTTAAAACTTAATTAAATTTCTACTCTATTTACACAAATATCAACACTATAATTATTAATTATAAAATAATTAATGACTATTACATACATATCATCCTCCAATAACAATCCTTTCAAATTAATAATTAAAAAAGAGCTCTTATAAGTCCCACAGTTAATTATTTACAATTAACATCTCAATTTACTCTTATTAATTATTTAATAAATTAATTTTTTAAAATTAAAGAAAAATTGTTTTATTCAACTTAATTAATAAATGGTCTTTTACATAAATTGTTTACATTAATATTTACAATTAAACATAATAAATTATATTTATTTTAATTAACAAAATTTTTTCTTCTTTTTATTTATTTTTTTTATTATTTTTATTATTTTATTAATGCAATAATTAATAAGAGTAACGATATTCAGTGACAATGCAGTACACAAAACATGAACTAAGTGCAGCACGAGTACCACTTTCATATCAGTCAGTGTCTCGTCGTATTTAAAAGGAGACTATTTCCAATTATTTACTGTTTACACTCCGTTTTTTATTTATTATTAATAATTTATTATTAATTAATTAATAGTTTTTTTTTTAATCATTTTTTATGTGCCAATTTGGTGACCGCTGATTTAAAATAACAATTTTTTATTTGATAATTTTTTTTACAAACAAATTATATAAAAAAAAATTTTTTGTATTTTTTTTTACACAATTTTTAAAATTTTCTATGTGTAATTTTTTAATTAATTTTTTTGAATTAATTTTTTTAAATTAATTTTTCGCAATTAATTTTTTTTAAATAATTTTAACTAATTTTTGATAATTAATTTTTTAAAATTGTGTAATTAATTTTTCAAAATTAATTTTAACTAATTTTTTATAATTAATTTTTTGAAATTAATTAACGAAAAATTTATTTTTAAAAATTAATTGTAATTTATTTTTTTAAATTAATTTTAACTAATTTTTAAGAATTAATTTTTAAAAATTAATTTTTTTTAATTCATTTTAATTACTTTTTCATAATTAATTTTTAAAAATTAATTGTAATTAATTTTTTTAAATTAATGTAAAAAAAATTAATTGTAACTAATTTTTTAAAATTAATTAAAAAAAAACTAATTTTTCATATAATTTTAATTAATTTTTTTGTTTATTTAACCTAAAAAATTATCAATCAGCCATTTTAATTTCAAGCGGCCATCTTGTCGGCATTTGAGCGCTCAAATTTAAATAAAAAATGAGCGTTTTTTTTACAAATAAATTCTAGAGTGTGTATTTATGTGTATTTTGTGTGCACTAGCGCATATAAAATATTGTACAATTTAGTTTTTTTAATTTTTAAATAATTATCGAATTATAATTTATTTATTTAATTTGAACCATCGATATTATTTTTTTTTAATTAAAAAACATACAACAATAATTCAGTCTAATACATTCCGAAGCACCAATTTCGCGACCCCCGTTTCATTCCCAAAAATTTATTTTTTAATAATAAATATTAATATCGAGTAAATACTCATTACAATAACTAATTGTTGCAACTTTCCCATAATAATTATTATTATTATAACTTTAATTTTCTAATACTTATCGAATTTAGTTTTTACTTTTAATTTATTATAACCTTTTTTTTTAGTATTTAAATAGTAATTATAATTACAATTAGAAATTTTACTATGAAATATTATGCGCTGCATAAGTAAGCCCACAGTGTGCCGACTGTATGTCATTTTTTTTATAAATTATCATTTTTTTTTCTAATTTCACACTTTTATTTCAACTTTGCAACTCTGTCAGTGTAAAACTGTAAAAATTATTTTAGTAATTTCATGATTATTTTATGCGGAGCGGTGAAAATTTTTGAGTTTTTTAAGAATATTTTTATTTATTTTATTGATTTTTTACCAAATTTTTTAGTAAAAAATTTATTTTATTTTTTTTTTACTAGAAAATTTAATTAAGTAATTTTTTATGGAATTTTTTATCATAAAAAGGTAATTAATCAATTTTTTACAAATTCTTTATTAAGAAAATTTATTAAACAGATTTTTAACCGAATTTTTCATCAAAAAATTAATTTTTTAATCAAAAATTAATTAATTTTTCTCTAAAAAATTTGATTAATTAATTTCTTACCAAATTTTTTATAAAAAAATTGTATTCAACTGATTTTTAACCAATTTTTTTATAAAAAAATTTATTGTATTAATTTTTTACTAAAAAATTTACTTAACCAATTTTTTATTAAAAAAATTTATTTAACTGATTTTTAACAGAATTTTTTGTCAAAAAATTAAGTAAATTAATTAGAGGTCAAAAAATCAATTAAATAAATTTTTTTCATAACTTTTTATCAAAAAAATGTAATTAATCAAATTTTTTTTTAAAAGAGTTTATTAAACTGATTTTTAACCGAATATTCTATCAAAAAATCAATTGAATTAATTTTTGAATAAAAAAATAATTAATTTTTTACCAAATTAATTATCAAAATAATTAACTAGACTGATTTTTAACCAAATTAATTATTAAAATTTTTTTTTGTCAATTTTTCAGTAAAAAATAATTAATTAATTAATTTTTCACCAAATTAATCATCAAAAGAATTAATTTAACTACTAACTTCTCAATTTTTCAATCAAAAAATTAATTTTTTAATAAAAAAAATTAATTTTCAAATATTTCTTCTTTAATTTTCTATTTATTAAAAAATAATTTATTCCCAATTATTAACCTCAAAATAAGTAATTAAACTCAAAAATTTTCCTAACCAA